AGACATACATACATACATACATACATACATACATACATACATACATACATACATACATACATACATACATACATACATACATACATACATACATACATACATACATACATACATACATACATACATACATTTACACAAAGTTTTTGACTGAATTACTTGAATACGAGATTACTGAAAATACTTATGAATTCAATCTATCAATATGTGTGAGTGTGCGTGTGTGTGTGTGCGTGCGTGTGAGTGTGTGTGTGCGTGTGTGTAAGTGTGTCTAAAAAAGATGAACGCCTCGATATCAAACTTGTTCAACAGATGACAAATGCCGGTGAAAAAAGCAATAGGTTTAAAAAAAAATGAAACTGTTATCATCAGGCACGGCTTTTACTCTTAAAAATGTTTGAAATATGAATGAGTGCAGAAAATGACGATGACATCATTACGTGTGTGTTTTTGTTTACGTGTGTGTTTTTGTTTACGTGTGTGTGCGTATGTGTGTGTGCGTATGTGTGTGTGCTTGTGTGTGTGTATATGTTCGTCTCTCCCTCTTTCTCTGAGTGTGTGTGTGTGTGGTGCGTGTGAGTGTATGTATGTATGTTCGTCTTTCGCTCTCTCTCTCTCTCTCTCTCTCGCTCTCTCTCTCTCTCTCTCTCTATTTCTCTCTCTCTCTATTTCTCTCTCTCTCCTTTTTCTCTTTGTGCGTATGTGTGTGTGTGTGTTAGTGTGTTATATAAATATGTTAACGTTATATGAACTTTATATGCAATCATGCTTATACATAATCAACATAGTACAGCAGACGCATATTCTTAATATCACACACAAGTAAACACACACAGAGTCTATATAGTGTCTTTATATATAATAATTAATATATTTAATGTTAATTAAATAATTAATAGCAGGATAAATTAATTTTTTGATCAGGTTTTATTAACTTCATCATCGTCCTTAGCTCATACAGTGTTTCGGTCGCTCTTTGCTTCAACTCTTTTTTCCGCCTGTTGAAGTTAATTGAAAAGGTATAATTAAAATTTGAAAAATTATTAGTTTTATGTTTGTTTTTGTGTGTGTGTTGGTGTGTGTGTATATATGTGTGGGTGTGTGTGTGTGCGTGCGTGTGTATGTGTGTGTTTGTGCGTGTGTTTGTGTGTGTGTGTTAGTATCTCAGATTATTATTTCCAATTAAGTTCACCTGTCTCAGCAGGGATTGCAGTTTCCGAATGCGCTCCTCCTTCGCTTTGTTATCCAACAGTAACGTCCTGACTCGTAATTTTAAGTTTCGGTATTTGCTCTCCTGTTCATTAGATGAATGAATTGTTTTGACGAATAAACGAATTGTGAATTGAATTGTGAATTGAATTGTGAATTGAATTGTGAATTGAATGAATGGATGGATGAATGAATGAATGAATGAATGAATGAATGGATGGATGGATGGATGGATGGATGGATGGATGGATGGATGAATGAACGAACGAACGAATTAATTAATTAATTAATTAATTGAACCAAATTAATTACCAGAGCATTCTCGACAGAATTCGCAACGAAGTTTGAAATTTTTCGTATATGATCTTTCATCATTTCGTCGTCATCATCACCTTCACCATCATCATCACCTCCACCATCATCATCATCAGCAGCAGCAGCAACTATGACGTCATCGTCGTCATTATCAATACTCTTAAACTTTTCAAACTTTGAGAAACGATCAATGTTTGGCGAGGCAGACGATGACTGGTCGTTGAGATTAGATAGATGTTCATTATTTTTTTGAATGCGATGCCCTGCCTTGTATAATGATGGTAGCAATGGTTTATAAGCGGTCGGTTGTTTTGTTGTTGCATTTGGGGATGTTGTTGTTGTTGATGTTGTTGTTGCTGATGTTGAGGTGTTTCCGTTATCGCCAAAACTACTAAATTTTTGTTGAAAAAATAGCTGCTGCTGCTGCTGCTGCTGCTGCTGCTGCTGAGGTTCTAGATGTTGAAAACTTGTTTGTTGTTTAGTTTCATTGTGACTTCCACCACCTTTAAAAATACCTTTATCGTATATGGGACGCCTGTCAAACATTGATCTAATTTCACCGACCGTTGCAGTATTACAGCTAGCACCGCCACCACTACTACTACTGTTAATATCTACGTTAGTAATATCGCTCGTGAAGTCACTACCTATACTACTTATTGAAGTAATAATAGCGCTATTTGTAATCGATGTCGTTGTGGCGTTTGTGTAGTTGTGTAGACGCGAAGCGGTTGAAGTTATTGTGGTCGGTTTGGAAAACATATCAGCTGTTAAGGTTTTTTTCGGTGTTGGGGTTTTTTTAAGAAGTCTTTCCACGAATATAGCAGCGTTTGTAGCTGCTGCTGTAGCTGCCGCTACCGTTGTTGTTGTTGTGGCTGCAGTTGTTGTTGCTGTGTTGGCTGTAGTTGTTGTTTCAGTTGTAGTTGATGAAGTTGTTGAATCTCGTTTCATGTCTGAGGACGTATTTTGGGAGAGAAATAACTGTCGCACTAAAGCTGTTGATGAAGTTGTTGTGAATGAGGGTGACGTCGCTGTTGTAGACGTTGTTGTTGACTTAGATGATTGTGGTAATGATAACAGTAGCGGCATTGTGGTAGTCGCCAGTAGTGACGACGACGACGATGCGGTGAGGTCGATGATGACAGCGTCGCTGCTTAACAGCGTGTCCGAGGTTTCAGTTTTTGTTAGCGA